TGACTGGCGGGCGAAGAATCTCAGGGTAATTTGGACTGGTTTTCTAGTAACTACTAGCACGGAGTCTGCAATTGCGCCCGATGTATAATAGATGTATATGTATAGCAATTGAGAACCCCTTTTTACATAGGACTCATGCCCATAGTTGGCGAAAAATGGGTTGTTACAATGTGTGTGTACTTTTCCCTAACTCTTCGAGGTTATTTATTTTATCCTGCAATTACTTTGTTCATTTTCAGTGACTAATTGTAGTGTCATAAAATTCTTAGTATTGTCATAACAAATTGACTCTCCGAGCTGATAATTCATTTAAACCCTCAATTTAAAGCGATATTACGAACATTAATACGAAAAGTGAATAAAACATCAAGAGACCTAAATATCAAGAAGCAAGTATTGATGAAGACGACAGGCGATTAACCCGAACCAATAGAAAATCAAGCAATATGACTAAAACATTCCAAGAGGGATAGGACTCGGTGAATCGTGAACACCAATAATGAGCCGTCAGCTTACTGAGCTGTGAAGTAAAGAACCAAAGATAAGGCAGGGTGACGTGTTACACCATGTAGACAACATAGAAGGTAAAGATATTATCAAGTCTCTTCTTCTTCCAAGGGGATGGTAAAGATTGTAGACCTTAAACCTACTTATCTAGGCAAGTCTTATACGAACAACTGCATAGAAAATATCTCGCCTAAAGTGTTAGTCGACTGGTCGCAAGTGTAAGTGCGGAGCAAGCGGTTGAGTTGGGCAAAAAGTTATAGGATTTTATGGATTTCCTAAAAATTACAACAAATAAAAGTGCACTTGCAAATATTACTTCAATGTTTAGTATATGTTTGAAAGCTTTCTTAAAGTACCCAACTACGCAGTTATTTTAACTGTTAACAAAAACGTACTGGTTTAATGACTAAACTACAACGTTCGTATAATGAAATAAATAGTTAATTGTCACAAAAGGTACTAAAACCAGAGCTGTTTTCATTTGCTAACAAATTGAAATGAAAAGTTTGCGTGCTAAAAACTCGTTAAAATTGTGGTGGCTGATTGGTTTAAACTTTAATCTAGTAAAACTAGAGTCAACCTTCTGTAAATGTCTATTTTAGATGAGGTTCGTAAAGAAGGTCTCGGACTGTCTAATCTGACTTAAGCAGGGCTTTCAAAGTGAATGGGTCAAGCCACATATGTGACTAAGTCTCACCCTCACCATTACGTGTTTCGTTTTATACCGTACTTGGATTTATTGCGAAAGGATTTATAGGATCCGACGGATTTTTATTGTGCTCAGCCGTTCGAGTGCGTTTAATTACAATAAATCGGTTAGACTAAGGTCGTTTAAGATTCGCTGCGTCAAAGTGAGAGTTTTATCAAGGCTTTGGTTCGGCTCGACTTCGATTAAACTCAAAAAGAAAAGTTTTAAGTTAAGTAATACTGTCTTTGACCTCATATCTATTATCCTCCATCGTTATGGAGGAATCACGTTGAATCACGTTTGATTCAACTTCATAAAGTGCTCAAAATGAATACATCTGGATTATTACTCTAGTTAGATAAAAAGAAAGATAGATTCGTTTACTTGCCTGAAATATTCAGTTTTCAGTTATCCAAAAAGATCTTTACCTTTAAATACACTTTTCAGGGAGAGTAATAAATTTATTTTTCAATCCTATTCCGCGTAAGTTATAGTCCATAAAGGAAACATATTATCGTAGTTCAACTTGTTAGTAGGTTTGGAGTTTGGTGAGGACAGTCGGTCACGAGTGTAGGACCATCAATCTTTTCAATACTTGCCTTCGGACGTGCCTACGTCGACACCCCTTGAGGCGTCACATACCCTTAGTATAGCCCTTTATATAGATCCGTATTAACGTGACTGATCGTAAATATGTGTATTCTATATCTATTTTAGGTCGAAGTTTTTTTTACTATACGTAGGTAATATGGGAAACTTGGAATTATTTTTATTCCATTTTTTATACTAACAGCCAAACTCAAGAGTCACTAAATTATTACTCAACTCAATGGTAAGTAAATTAAATATTTTAAAATAGTTTTTAAAATAAAATCGTAAATCGTCGCAATTAATTATTTTAGTAGTAGGCCTTTTTATCAATGTCGATATTAATATTAAGTGATGTTCGCAAGTTACTCGTACTTTATGTTAGCTGGTATTTTTGGGTATATAGTATATTCATCACCCAGGTTGAGCATTAGATTGAACATTTAGAGCTCCTAGCATGAACTTGGCACTTTGCCCGATTAAAACTCGTTAAATTTATTTTGACTGGTACAAAACGTTAGGAAAATGGTATAACATCGAATATTACATTTTACGTGCATAGCAATATCGTTATCAGACGTCATTAGTAGGCTTTTTTATGGAACAGATTAATGAATTAACCAAAATAATTGTATACGTTTTATTTGCCTTCTTTTTACTTTACGTTTTTTATGGAATAAGCCGGTTAACGAGCAGATGGATCACCTGATAGCAATCAGCGCCGCCCATGGACACCCAAAACACCCGAGGTGTTACAAGTGCGTGACCAGCTTTTTTGGAACTAGGAATTTAAGAATTGTTGGGAATTCGGGGATTGAGGAAGGGATTTACTGGGCCTCCGGTAACCTCTCTCACACGACGAAACACAACGCAAGTGTTAGTTCACGTCGGTTTTCTGCGAGGCTGTCCGCCACTCCCGTCGAGCCGGCCCCGTACCGAAGCATGGCTCTCCCACACTTACGTATTTGAAAAATGCTATTACTCACAAAGCGATTTACAACCGAAATGTATAACCAATCTTAAGACAAAATCTCGACATCACTCTTTGTTTTTGACAGGAACTCCGTACAACTAAAGTCAAAAATCGATCTTAATCTACAGACTTTCATTCATATTCATATCTTTGCATACCATTTCACAAGATGTTACATAGTACACAAACTTAAAGCTAGAACACAATTAAGGACCCTGTCGAGCACAGCAAAATATGAAGTTACAATTGTTGAATAACGCCCGCGACAGTCGCCACAGTCGCTGCGTTGCCGGACCTGGTATGCTGCTCATGAATATGAGCCTCTAGCATGGATAGCAATATGAAATTAGTCAAGTTCTTCGTCAAATAATTAGGTGAGTAAAGACGAAAAACATAATAATTAATTTACTATGTCTCACAAAAGTTATACTTATAATATTAACACTGATATCCTTCTGTTTAACAAAAGGGTCACTGCATTGGACTGTCAATAACATATATGTTATTGATATAATTACCAATCCGTAGATCAAAATCGGCATCTAATCGCGATATTGTTGCAATGAAAAGCATTTATTATCATCAATCTCTTTAAATAGCTTTTTATCGCAAAGTAAATAAATCACTGTTCGCAACTCAACATTTCAGCTAGGACAGAATGAAGGTCCTACAAATATAGAAGTAACATAGACCGCCATATGATTTATTGCTCCCTTGAGTTCCTTGGCTAACGTATGTACATAGAGTATCAGTCTCTCTTTCCGACGGTAATATAGATCGTGAAACCGAACACTAGCGTTCGTCGGTCAGCGGAAATGTGCACTTCAATAAACGGGTTCCAAGAGTCTTCACGTAAGTGGGCCAAAGTTGTCGATAACGGCGTGTCATCCCGAAAACGTTCGAATGTCACAAAATGGCACACGTTATTTTGAAACCTTGGAAACTCACGTTTCCTGATAGGAAATAGAAATTCGTACTTTAGTTACTATACTTCATATATGTAACAGTTTGATATTCAACTTGAAGCAAGTCAAGTGCTTCTTAAAGGGGCTTTGTGGAGTTGAAGTGTTGGTTATTACTTTTCTTATAACAAATATTACTTTCGAAGAACGTAGGTAACTTGATGATATTGCGAATATTATAAAGACATGACTTATCATCATGTTAGTCAACTAGAAATCGCGAGTTACTCACGTGAATATACTGAGAAAAGCTCTACTAGTTTCGAGCCACAGAGGGACTTTGCGGCGCGGCAATGTCGCGCAGGGTATTGGATTAACCCGCGATTCTTAGTTAATTTAGTATGTCTCACGATAGTTATTATAAAAATCATGTTAGTTTTTTAGGGGTAAGAGAAAGGAGTTTTGTACATTATTTATATTTTTGGAGTTACAATCCTGTCGAGAAATGCGTAAATTATCAAGTAACGGCTATAAAAACGCAAACGTAATATTAAACCTTAACATAATAATCTAAAACATTTGTTTTCTTGATAGCAGATCGCAATAGACACAAGTCTTTCATAGAAAATAGGCTTTACGTCTTCCTGACTGAAAAAACAGAATTTGCAGTAATTTTGTACATTATTAGAAGAAATTATAAATGATGAATAAACGGAATACTTCGTCTTCGTTTAATCTACTTTAGACTTACTGTTATGACTTTTAGAGTGCATTTTATACAAGCAAGTTTAGTTACCAGTTTTACTTAGGTCGTATAGGTATTAATTAAAAAAATAAAACCGTCGTTGCAGTCGGGTATATGGCGATAATACAATTCCAGACTATGTGAGCTAGTTCCCGTTTCTCAATCTTGGTTTAAAGTTCCACAAACGTTATCTATATATATAAAAGAAAGTCGTGTTAGTTACACCACTTTATAACTCAAGAACGACAGAACAGATTTAGCTAAAAATTGGTATGGAGGTAGCTTAGAGCCAGGAGACAGACATAAGATACTTTTTATCCCGTTCGAAAAAAAAAAGTTTAGTTAGTTTTAGTTTCCGGGAAAAACAGGATTGCGCGTACGAAGTCGCGGGCAGAAGCTAGTTTTCTATAGAAACCTAAACTTTAGCTACCTAATTATTTTCCTTCACTTAGCTTTCTAACTAACTATTGCTTTTATAATACGCACTCTCATCGGCGAACTGTCAATTTGAATTCATTGTTTACGAGATATATTTTTAATCTCCGGTTTGCAGAAAGTCAGGTCTGTAACAATTGCGTATCGCAGACTATCGCTCACCTTTTCAGTTACAGCAAGTCCTGCATACTCCTCGGGAGCCAGGCAGTCGCCCTTCAGCCAGCTAGCAAGGCGACCTAGCTCTCCAAGCATATTTGACGGAGTCAGCGAACTTAGAGCCATTCTTATTTAAACTCGAATATAATTATACACCGCAACTTTTAATACATCATTCGTATATATTTACAAAAATACTGTACCGGTTATTTAGTCAGACAAAGTTACAACAACTTTACCACCAATAACATTTTATTTAGTTACTTCGAAAAAGATTTTCGGAGAGAAACAAACTTTCAACCGTACACTAAGCAGGAAATAGAACCATTTCCGTCGGTTTGATGAGCAGAAAAAATAATAAAACTTTTCCAATTAAATTAATATTTCGCGCAAGAGATGCTGCACAAAAAATTGTGTAAAATTCCCGCCCCTTTACTGAAGAGACGTCTACCCTTCGTAGCGGCGCAAATTCAACTGACAGTAATCGAGAATCCCAGTTATTTATCGTCAAAATACTCGGATTTTCAAACACGTCGACTGATTCAAGCGATGTTGCGCTCTATTGCGTGCTTCTAGAGAATATTTTAAAATGCCAAAGGCCATAGTTGAGATTTTCGGAGCATGCGCGGGAAATAGAGACGGAAGTAGGGTTATGTCGGGGGTTGGAAAGGGACGACGAGATTTCCGCAATTTATTTTCCACTTCCCAATTTGAAACACACGTGTTTTGTTATTGCTCTGTATTATTAGGCAGTGTCGCAAAACAGTGCAAAATTCATGTACCTATTTGTTATCTAAAAATACAAGCTAAATTGATACTTCAAACAGAATGCAGAATACCATAATATAATGAATTATTCTGTCTGTATTTATAATTTAGTATTCATAAAGCCAATATTGATTGAACAATAAATAAAAACAATTCCTAGCTATGATGACATGACAATACTACCTACTTTAACTACTTTTAAGACCTTAAACCTACTTCCCTACAGTAAAGGACTTTACATAAGCCACAAATAACTAGTTTTCTACTAAAATATGTTAAAACAGAAACTGGTTTAATCTCTTTTTTTATTTATGGTAACAAGTTTTATAGTGTAAAAGCCTAATCACTTATCAATGAAGGCCTTCTTTTCTCATATGTGATTCCCCTTAGCACTTGACATTTTAGCTCAAAAATAAATTGTATTAACTGTAGTTTTCAGTATAATTCTATTGTATTATATTTAATTATAATGAAAGGTTGTCACACCAAATTTGTTTAATGAACATGCTTGTTTATCATCAATATTAGAATCAGCACCTAGCGTCACTGAGGGATTGACCAACAGACTATTTTTGTATTTGTTGATGTTTCAAAAATACCAAATTATGGCTTAACTCGTCGAGTACCGGTTTTGTAGACACAATTATAGAACAATAGGTTGCGGTCACCGGTGACCGCTTGGTGTTTGACAGTTTAATTGAAGTAAATGTTTTGACTTTGAAATGTAATAGGATTCCTATTGGAAGTACAATAAGTAAATCTTTCACGCATAACGGAAATTATGAAAACTAATAGATAAATGTGGAATTGATAAAACATTTCAATACTTTATAATACTCAGAATGTCAATTCAATTCAATTAAAATAACATAAAAAGAATTCACAAAATGAAATAAATAAAAAATAAAGTTATAAAAAATAAGACGCCCACAAAAAATGTTTATCTGTTAGAGAATAATTTAATTACACATTGAGATGAATAAATACGCATTTTCATTCAGGATGACATTCGATTACCTATAGTTTAGAGCTAAACATGATAAGAACACAACACAGATAAGTTTATCAACAGTAACAAAGGCATTCTGTTTGTTGTTTCACTGCATTTTCACTATTATTAAAAACGTGTGACTGCCCACATCATCAAGGAATGTCCCTAATAATGTTCTTATTAGATTATTTAATGCCCTATTTTAAACATTTCACGATAAATATACAGAAAACCGTAGGAAACGCCTGAAAAAGACTACTGTGCCTTGAAATTAATAGATTTTTTGTGTCACCATGTTTTGATATCGTATCCTTAGTTACTAATTATATTGTTGCTACACTTACCTTAGGTGTTTTGACGATATCCATAGCAGCAGCTCACGATAATCAATAAAATAACCAATTCACGTCAACTCAAGTTTCCAAAACATGAATTGTCTAATTCGAATGTCCACGAACACAAAACTCTGTTATCTATTGTATATGAATAATATAACAGCACTTTTATTCTTAGTTTTAACAATTACAAATCAACGAAAACAGAAAAATCAAACCTTCAAACCGTAGACAGAGAATATTCTCTGTCTACGCTTCAAACCAAAAGTTTGATTTTCTACTTTGATTTGACGTTACGTTTAGTTTCCTCATTGTTGTGATTTGTGGCCGTGTGGCGGTAAAATAAGTTAATTGGAGTGTGATCCGATTCTGACTAGAAAGATTTTCATTCAATTTATTCGAACCCATGATTCTACTCTTAGATAAAAAATAAATTCTACCGCCTATTTATATCACAGTTTTCTTATTAAAGATGGATTTTTTTTAATTGCTGATATATAATCGACTAAATGTGTTTGATGTGGCACAGCACATTTATTGAAACAAAATCCATTGCTATGGTACAACTCTAATTCAACTGTCAAAATTATTGTGACGTCCTGTCGATCTATCGCGTATTTGTTTGCAATTTGCGAATTCATATTTTTATCACATTGATTTTAGAGAAAACGGTATCAAAATAAATTTAATTAATAGAATCATGACATCTACTATGCCAACAGACAGGAACGAAGAGCGGAGACGAAGGGTAAGTCCTAATATGAATATTTAAAGGAAATATATTATTAAATTGAATGATTCGCAAAAGAGTGAATCATTGTTATCATAAAAATTTGAGACGAATTTTATGCTAATGAACACTGTTTTAGGGTGGTAAACAAGCTTAATAACCGGTTTTTGTTATTTTCAACCTTGTTTTTGTATCAAGTATTATTAGAAAGATCGTATTGATTTGCGTCGCTCGCAAGGAAATTTCCAGACTTCATCTAGGGATCCTGTAAAAGGGTTTCAGACAAAGGAGAGGTCATTGACCTGAAATTCGAAATACCATAGGATGCCATTTGTAAGTCATATGAATGTTGTTGTACAATACCTTTTAGTAATTAAATTAATCAATTATCTAAAGCCCTTGAAACTTGAGTATGATTCACCAAATGTTATCAATAGATAAATTTTATAAATAATATACCTATTGTTAGTGTCTTATTGATTGCTTTATTGTTGTATTATAGTTACTGTGTTTATTATTTAAACTATTTAGTACTTAAAACATATTTTTCATAACCAATTAATTATTATGCAACAATATACACATTAGTGCTAAAACTAAAAAGTTTCTGTTATCTTAATGGAGCAGTTATTTGAGTTTCAGATAAACTATTTGATAACAGGTTTTTGTTTGAGTGGTAATGAAAAAATATCATGAAGTTAATAACTATTACTTTCATAGAGAACAGTAATGATTTATTAGCAATAATGAAATTAACATTTTATTCTTGTTGGTTAAAATGAATGGAATTTAACTCATTGAGTACCGTCATTATAGACACAATTAAAGAACAATAGGTTGCGGTCACCGGTGACCGCTCGGTGTTTGACAGTTTAAATCTAACCTACTTACTTCTTTCTGTCTTTTTTAGTAAATTTTCAACTTTATTATTTTGGTATACAGTTAAAAATCCAATGAGAAATGGTGACAGATTGAAATATTTTGGTCTGCTGGCTACTGTACTATTAATCTATTTAGCTTCCTGTATAGGATGTTTTTATATATATAAATTTTTCGTTGAAACACTATCAATTAACAAAATCTCATCAAAACCAGTTGTGTAGTTTTAAAGAACTAAGCATACATAGGGACAGACAGTGGAAAACAGACCGACTTTGTTTTATTCAATGTTGTGATATGAATTAGTTAAATTGGATAACAGAAAAAATATAATGAGAAGATCTTGAATATCAAGTCTGATCATGTGGGTGTTTTGATAAATAAAAAAAAATGTTTTACATATTTGTGACTAAGCCAGTTTACATAAACAGCTATGATGTCATATTATTAATAAACTAGTTTTTGTTTTAAACTGGTTGAAAGAAAAACAAAGAACCCTTTATTGCTATCCACTTTTGTGTTTATCTCCAGCTTAAAAAATCTATACGACATTTACAATATTAAATGTCTAAAATACCATAAAAATATTTTGTGAAATGTACATTTAGGATAGTAACATCGGTTCATCTATAGTTCTATAGAAAAAGAGTTTTGTTAATTTTCTGATACACAAGAACCAAATTCTCCTTACCCAAAAAAAAAAGAATTAGTAAAACCAGTTCAGCTGTTCTTAAGATTACATTATATAGTCGTGGTGGCCAGGAGGTTTAAGACGCCACTCATGCATGAGGGTGCGGGTTTGAAACCTACCAACGGCAAGTACGTAACTTTTCCGAGTTATATGTACTTTCTAAGGTTATCTAGACACCACTGACAAACGGTGAAGGAAAACATCGTGAGGATATCCTGGGATGTTCTTAAGATTTGCACATAGCAACATATTCAGTCATTCATTTTATATCATACATAGATAATACCTATTGAATAGATATTTTTCTAAATAAACGTTCTCGTCTAAATAAATTAAATAAATATTCATAATGTTTTTTAGTTTAATGTTTTGTGAATGAACTCGGCACAGACAGGTTGAGGCAAGTTCAACTATTTCGTTTTTTAGTCTTCAAAACGTTAAGGTCGAATATTAAATAATTATTAGAAGAATATAGCAATTAATACTATTCAAAATTAGTCCTTGTTTCTGTGTAGTTGTCTGTTTAATTTAAAAAGTTAATTAGTAAAATAAATTCAATTAACAGTAGTGCAAAATAGTGTCAGTAAATTGGAGCCATTTGTTATTGGTTTGTGATTATAAATCACTATTTTTTACAATTAGTTACTATTATGGTAAGTGGTCATCACCTCCATAAAGAAGTTCAGAATGAATCAATAATCTCATATCTTATAATTATTATATAAAGCTAAGAGTTTGTTTATTTATTTGTTTGTTCGTTTGTTCGTTTAAACACGCTAATCTCCAAAACTACTGGTCTGATTTAAATAATTCTTTTTGTATTGGTTATTGCATTTATCGAGGTAGGCTATAGGATATAAAACATCACGCTACGATCAATAGGTGCCTAGTAGAGAGGGTGAAACCGCGCGAGAGTAGCTAGTTATATTTTGTATTATAGTAATAAAATCTTTTTGTCATATTAACACTACAATATATTACAATTGGGTACTTGCCAACTGGTCAAATTAATTTTTTTATCGAACTGTCAAAAACGTCAGTTTTCTATGAATTTTGTACAAGATTGTGTACTGTGACGTTACATATTTTTAACATTCATCAGTATGTTGTTTAAAGTTAAAAATTATTTTGGTATTTGAATCGGAGCGAATGTTAAAAACTGCTTTTTTTACTTTATAATTAGAATTATTTTAAAAATCAATCATTTAATTAAACTGACTACCTACTGCACGAATATTGTTGTTAAATATTCCAAATTATTATTTAATTACGATTATTAATTACCAAAACAAAACTAAGTCGGTGCTTGAAGTTGCTACATTGAAGTTGCCACATCTATATTTATTAAAATCCACCAATATATTTTTCAAAATCAATGGAAATGAAACTGAATTCTTTAGTCATTAAGGTTAATTTTTGTACTTTGTTTTAGGTGCTCTTAGGCCCTTTGCCAGCTGGTTTCCTCCGAGCTGATGGAGCGACAGATACCGTTGATGCAGACTATCAAGCTGCATTAGCTCTTCAGCAGCAACTTAGTGGGGCTACAGTAAGTGTTTACTATCATGGTAAAAATGACTTAATTGTCTAAGACATAGGGTTGAAATTACATAGTCAAGAACCTTTTCCTGTTGAGTCTTTCTTACAAAACTGTTTCATTTTGTAAAATTAACTTAACTGTCCAAGTTTTACAGTTGAAATTAGCCAGTTAACAAGATTAATAAATATGTTTACATTTGCAGTCTTATTTTATACTTTATTACCTCACAGTAAGGTTCATTTTTCATTGTAGGTCCCACCTGCAGGCCCACCTCTGACAGCAAGGCTTAGCATAACAATAGCACAGGCTAAGCTTTCCAAAAATTATGGTGAGTTTATTTTTTTATATAAACCCTAAATAAACATACTATAAAGCTCCATTTGCTATGGTGAAAACGTCGGTTCTGTTGTAAATTAGAAATGGAATATCTGAAAACAAAATTCACTATTCATACATGTACATCAACGTACAAATACGTGAAACTATTATATTCCTTAAAAATAGATTTTCAACTTTATTGCCGAAGAGTAAAGTTGTATTTGTATCACGCAATGCTGCTCACGGATATGAGCCCCGAGCGTGGCTTGAAACTAGTTCAGTTAACCTCTCGCGCGTCTCGTACACGGGTTTAATAGAAAGCGAATGAACTATACTGTTCAATCAAATAAAGAACGGGTTGCAACTTGAAAATATACATCACAGAAAAAGTTTCCAATCGGTGCGAGTCACTCTCGTACACCCGTGTGTACAAGAAACGCGTGAGAGGTTAACAAAACATCAAACAGTTACTTAAATTAACCGTTAAATATAATAATTAAGTCTCATAAATCGATTATATAGGGTTGACCCGTATGGATCCCTACGTGCGCCTGCGCGTGGGCCACTGCATATACGAGACCCACACCGACCCCAGCGGTGGTAGGACGCCCCGGTGGAACAAGGTCATTCATTGGTAAGTTTTGCATGGAATAAAAAAATACTAACCCCAGTTCCCCTCAGACATTTTGTTTGCAACGTCTGGACAGATGTCGACATTTTAGAACAATGAACAAGAGTGAGATTACGAAAGTTATTTATATTTATTTTAATAAGGTATATAGCACACGGCGTATTTTTATACGCGCATCTATGGCGCTTATACACGCGCGGTTCATACTCGCTCCGTGCGCTTAGGTTCCAATCTCGTATAAACCGCGTAATCGCGCAGTAAACGCGCGAGCAATACCTAACCATTAATGAAAACGCAACAATCAGCGCCTACGTCTCCGAAAACGCTAATACCAGCGTTTCCTGCGCGTATCAAATACGCCGACCGCTATGGCCCTTAAGCGATGTAAGTGGTAACGCCGATAGAATGCCATCCTTACTATAATATTATAAATCGGAAAGTGAGTTTGTTTGTTTGTTTGTTCCGCTTTCAAGCCGTAACTACTAAACTGATTGCTTTGAATTTTTGCTGACGTAAAGTTAGAAGTCTGGATTAAATAATAGGGTACTTTTTACCCCGGAAAAAGTTGATATTCTCGAGGGACAACGAAATTATTGGTATAGATGGCGCTGTGTGTACGTAGGCTACTTTTTATCCTTTTGTGACGCGAGCGAAGCTGCGGGTAAAAGTAGTACATAAATTATTTTATCCTGTGGCTGGTTTCCGTGACCTGGGCCGCCCTTGCGAATTCACTGCACAATGGCTGGTTGCTGTACAGAAACAGCTGTGTTTGTGTTCATTTTTAATATATTGTCCTTGTTTGGTGCAGCTGATATTATTTTTCGTTTACCTGTGTTACTCCTTTCTGTCCTACTTAACATTATTATTGTAAATGCAGGTTTGTGAGGATTGAGGATATAAAAAGTATATATTATGTATTGTATGTCTCTATGTCTATGATTATGTAAATAAGCACTGAAATACATAAATGATTGTCAAAAATAACACATACATACATCCTTCTTGGTCCGGTAAGGTGGGTGAAAAAAACAATTATTTGAAAATCCCAATTGATTTTGATTTGATATTTAATTGGGTACTTTCCTGGGTCAAAAATAAATTATTATGATATTTCAGTCGAATTAAATATTGATGGAAAAATAGTTATACTTTCATTCATTGATTTGACGATATACTTAATTTTCGATTTATTCTAGCATTTACTTTAGATATAAGTGTAAATTTGACGCGAAAATATGATGACGTCATAAGCTGGTATTTCGTACAAAATTCATAGAACAGAGGCCTTAGTACGAGTTTCATTTACGTTTAAAGTATTCGTAACGAGTACGCTTTCGGCGCTCAGATTGGCCGGCGCCAATGAACCAACCAATCAGAGCGCCGAACGCGTACTCGTTACGAATACTTTAAACGTAAAACAAACTCGTAAGTACTAAGGTCTCTGTATCGTTTTTGATGTTTCGATAACATTATTGAATTTGACTGGTTGTCAACTACCGTATTACTTGAATTCCATTTTCTTAATTTATTCCTTATTCAATTTGATACTATTAATGACGCTATTATTAACTTTAATAATTAAATAATTCAGCTTCCTTGATCTTAGTAGTTGTTAATGACGTAGATATTTAAATTTACATAATGACTGATATTTATCACTATTTTTGTCCGAATTAACAACGCAGTTGTACAAAATTGTCGTAGAAAGATTTGTTTTATGTAAAGAAGTTTTAAGTAATAATAATAGGTTTATAATTTTGAGATATTAATTAAGCTTGAATGAGTGAATGAATGAATGAATGAATGTCCTTTATTTCTCAGTACATGGTGCACACAGATCTTAAAATCGCATTAAAGAACAATTATATTGAAATTAGTATTATTATTGGAAACAATTCAAATACATTAAAACAGGTAAAGTTAGAAAATAAATTAGAAATGTCATAAAATTAAGATGTCATTATGTATCAGTAGTCAAATTGTAATATACGAAAAAGTCAATAAATTAATTGTCACAACAAACCAGGAAGTCAGGTGAGCAATTTATAATTAATTTTGGTCAAAAAACATGGAGGCAACTGATTAGCACGATGATACAATGCTTGAAAAGGTGCATACCTACAGCTGCTGTTACTTAGAAAGTCTCGGGTAGAATAAAAACTCTCCTGAACCAACCACTTTTGTAAGGCACGACAAAACGGTTTATATGGCAGGCTTTTATGGGGCAATACAGAATGGGATAAAGTAACAAGTTTTGTTTTAGAAAGAAAATTCACAGTAATAGCAGGACGCCGGGAAATCAGTCCGGTGTATGGCAATAGGCTTCCCCCTGTTACATAGGACTCATAACTTACATTGTGTGCGCTTGTATCCACCTCTTTGTCCATAGGCCTCCGATACCCTCAAAACGTTGTTTCACGCCGGTTGTCCTAGAGGCCGTGGTATCACTCCGGTCGACCCGGCCCATCCATGCCGAAGCATGGCTCTCCTTCGTAGAGATAGTAATTATTTTTTGTTTGTCCACAGCCTGCTGCCTCCTGGCGTGAACTCCATCTATTTGGAGATCTTCGACGAATGCTCTTTTACGATGGATGAGCTGATTGCCTGGGCACACATCACCATACCACCAGCGGTGCTGCAGGTAAGCAGTTGACGATATAACTGTAATATTCTTTGCACGAGTCTATGTTTCCTGAAGGGTATGACCTGGGTGTCTTCAAGGCCCGAGTGAGTGGGTTGCTTATGGGTCGACGTGCTCCATCGTAGGCCACATCATCGCTTACCACCAGGTGAGATAGTGGTCAAACGTCAGTCCCTTCATCAGAAGGGACTGACGTTTTTTATTTATCAATATAAAAAGCCACTGTTGGACAAAGCCGTTTTCGTGAAAGGGTTTGCTATAAGCCGCCTGCCGAGCTTGGGGATCGCAGCTAAATCACTGGAAAACAAGGAATGGACAAAATGAAGTAGTACATATTAGCATCTTTGTGCATCGGTTGAAATACACGTTTTACGGATGTGACTGTACCTACTACGTCGTCTACCACGCACGCAGCTTCTGGTTATAGGTCGCGGTGTGGCTTCAAATTAAACGAGTACCTATTTCAATTCAATATAACTCTCTATAGTTAATATTTGAAACCTCTATGCGTGTTATATTTTATACTCGCGACCCGCCCCGGCTTCGCACGGGTGTAATATGCATGTATTATACATATAAACCTTCCTTAAGAAATATTCTATCTAGTAAAAAAACGCATCAAAATCCGTTGATTAGTTTTAAAGATCTAAGCATACATAGGGACAGACAGACGGCGGATAGCAACTTTGTTTTATATTATGTAGTGATTAAAAAAGGAACAATGTGTTTCAAATAAAGTTATTTTGCTTGCTCCAGGGTGAGACATTCGACAACTGGTTCTCTCTGAACGGCAAGCAAGGAGATGGGAAGGAAGGAGTCATCAACCTAGTTCTCAGCTATTCTGTGAGTATAACATTATGAAACTTTTATCCTAATATACCGAAAAGCCCAATAATTCTTTATCCGACCCAGAGTCAAACTTCAAATGCTCTTGCTCGGCACTTGGCAGTAGCACTTGTTGCCTCTTGGTCAACGAAGTCACAAATATTCAAAAAAGTAATAAAATAAAATAAAACATAATTTTTTTGAAGTCGGTTAGAAATGAACATTGTGGTGATACTGATACCAATAGGTATAATACACGTCGCGCCATGCTGCTTATGCATATGAGTCCCAGACATAGCTTTAAAACTAGTCAAGTTAAAATATAGCGTCAAATAGTTATATATACTATAAAACGTAATTAATTATCCATTGTCTAAATACTCAAACGCTCACTCAAGTATAGTTCTGTCTCTACAAATTCTATGTAAAATGACAGAGATGGCACGATATTTAAGTACAATTTAGAATTGAGCAGAGTGCCAAGCACGGAATAACTATCGCGTTCTTAACGTCATAGTATCGATTGCGTTCGGTGATTGGTTGGTTCACTGGAGCCGGCCAATCAGAGCGCCGAACGCGCTGGATTCTGTTACGTTACGAATGCGATAGCTATTCGTGCTTGGCACTCAGTATTAGGGCATCATCATCAACAGCCTATAAATGCCCACTGCTGAGCAAAGCCTCTTCTCGCACGGAGAAGGTTTGAGCATTAATCACCACGCTTGCTCAATGCGGGTGTGCGATTTCAAACTTATAATTAGAAATTGTAAGTCCAGGTTTCCTCACGATGTTTTTCCTTCACCGTTGGTCAGTGGTGTCTAAATAATCTTAGAAAGTACATATAACTCGGAAAAAGTCACATTGGTACTTGCCGTTGGTAGGTTTTGAACCCGCACCCTCATTCATGAGAAGCGGGCGTCTTAAACCTCCGGGCCACCACGACTCAGTATTCGGGGGTATATCAATTATATGTTCGTGTGTGTAGGTGGGTCCGGCGGCGGTGGCGACGTTCCCCCCGATGTTGGTGGTGCCGAGTACCGGCATGGGGTACGCGGCCATGCCCATGTACTCGGCCCCGCAGCCGCAGCCAATGATGCCGCCGCAACAACCCCCGCCGCCACCTATCACTGCTGAACAACTGCAACAGGTACCTCTTTATATCACTTGTACAGCTTCGCAAAATAGAGTTTGGAATAATAGCGTACTTTCCTAAATTTTATTTTAATGTCCGTCTGGTACATTTATTTAAAACATTTGACACGTATTTTTTCTTTTCTCACAAAATTAAATACTTTCGACGATATATTAATTTAAAATATCGTGTGACGTCACAACGTGTCACATTTTGTAGCACGTTATGACGTAACAACCTCCCACTCCTAAACTTAGCGCCATTTTATCTAATTATTGCAACTTAATACGAGAAAATAAAAAATACGTGTCGAATATTTTTTCATTATCTAATTGACGGACTAATTAGATTTTTAATTTTGATACCCCGGTAATTACCCAATTGTGGTCGCTACTATCGTACCTGTGGCAACCTGGTACTACGACTCAATCGGTTTTGGTATTTGTTATTATTATCGAGTTTAAACAGAGGAGATACTGTGTTTGGATGATTGTTTATTCATTGGATGTGGTCCGAAGTGGGTGATTCATTTCCTAGTACCTATTAGTTCCAGCTGTTTGTTCGATTTATATTTTACTAGCTTCTGCCCGCGACTTCGCCCGCGTTCCCGTGGGATAAAAAGTCGCCTATATATTATTTCAGACTATATTCTACCCCTGTTTCAAGTTTCATCTCGATCTCTTCTGCCGGTTTGACGTGATGACGTAACAAACACGGATGTGTGTGTACGTCCTCACAAACTGTGGCATTTATACTATCAGTAGGATTATATGACTAGACTTATTAATTGTTACTTATAACTTATTACATAATCCGGCAATAAATATTGCACATAAACCTTAGGAAAGAAATCCGACGCTGGTTTTCGCCATATATTTTTGGATAGAAATTTTCCTTGTTGTATTACACAAAAAAAAACTCTTCTACCTTTTAATTTCGTTTAAAAAACCTAAAAACTAAATAACACACTTTCAGATCGAGGAAATGTTCCCGAGTATGGACAAGGAAGTCATAAAATCGGTGCTCGAAGCCAACGGCGGCAACAAGGATGCTACAATCAACTCACTACTGCAGATGTCAGAATAATAATAATTATACATATATGAATATACCCTGTAATCATGACATGTAAGTGATTTATACAAACTTTATTTACATATTTTAATACGTCAGCGTCATTTAAGATCTTAGTACAACTTTATTTTACGTTAAAAGTATGGCACTCTGATTGGCCGGCTCCAATGAACCAGCCAATCAGAACGCCGAACGCGGTCTCGTTTCGATTACTTTGAACGTAAAGTAAAACAAACTCGTACTAAGCCCTCTATGCGTTTAGCATTGCTGTAATCCCCACGCTTGGTAGATAAGCTTGGGGATTATTTTATTATGTCACCTAAACTTAAAAAAAAAAACGTTGCGTTTCTCCCGATACGTTATCTCATTGGAATTCAAATAGAATGCTCAGTATCATAGTTACATCGAAATTAATTAATTTCACATAGTTGCACTTGCACAGTAAATATATATAATGTTGTATAAGGAAACTATATTAAAAAGGCTCAATTGTCAAAAAATCTACAATATAAATCATACAAAAAAATTATGTCATTTATAAAAGAAACAATATTTCGGCATTGTCCCAAAATATTATATTTAAATTTAGATTAAAACAACGTCCTGTATACCAGTTAATACTAATACACGCTATATTTTAAAAAGATCACAACACAGTTTTCACTTCCAAAGTAAATTGAAGGCTGACTCGTTGGCCGAGTGGTCGCAAGTGCGACTGCCGGGCAAGGGGTCTCGGGTTCGATTCCCGGGTCGGGCAAAGTACTACTGGGGTTTAAAAAAAATCTCAGTGGTAGCACAGAGTCGGGAATTGTACCCGATATATGGCAATAGGCTCACCCCCTATTACATGGGACTCGTAACTTAAATAGTGAAAAGTGGGTGTTACATTTTACACTGGCATTAAGTGCCGTAATGTGCACCTTTGCCTACCCCTTCGGGGATAAAAGGCGTGATGTTGTGTATGTATGTAAATTGAAGCTTATATCAATAGTAGAAAGGATTATAATCAAATATTGGTTGTCAAAATTATTCAGGCTATTTTCGATCTTAAGGTGAGAGTGTTAAAGATCATATTTATTTGATAGTGAAAACTGTGCATTTGAAATATAATTATTATTTCCCAAGATTATTATACTGATTATAGTGAATGTAAAAAATGGTCATAAGATCCATTATTCGTACTGACGTTTTTAAAAGCGTGTATACATATGTAAGTCAAGGGCTTGCTTGGCCCTCAAAAATATTATAAAATCATTATAACACCATTTGAGTATTCTAACAAATATCAATTACACTTACGCCAACCGACTTTGACTTCTGTTGCGTACAAAATAGGACACATTTTGGCTTCAACGTGTTTGAAGAATCTTGCAATTATATTGCTGTTTATATCTCTCTTATGTCTACGCGATAAAGTTGAAATTTGGTTGAGTTGAACTGTATCTAAATGAAATTTGTTAAAATATCAAAGGATGAACTAGTATTTTAAATATATCTCGGCCTTACTTTTGTAGTGGTAAGTGCTTAAAATATTTGTAAATAAACACTATGTATGTCAGTGGCGTGCACAGGGTTTTAGAACAGGGTAGGCAACATAATATTGTATTATGATTAAACTCATCGTAAATACATAACATAATAATTCAACTTATGAGGTTTTTAATCTTTCGTCAATTCTTTGTAACAGTGCCATCTCTCGTTGTTTTCGTGAAGTATTACATCAACTTATTGATTACTCTAACAAATTAAAAACATTAATATTCTATTTTTCTCTTTAGATTTGTAAAACTAATTTGCATAATTACCTACTCGAGGTGCTGTATAACGATTAATCTAATTTATGTTATCAATTCAGTAGCAGTAACGAATTGTTCATTCTAAAAATTGAACTGAACTGGTGGCCTGTCCAGCCTTCTCACGTTTAATACAAGAATATTACGAATTCTTTACTCTTTTAATTTAATTCTTCGAATTAATAAGTTTGGTTCATCTATTCGAGAGATATTATGATTTTAAGAACTTGGGTATGACTAATAGAAAAATCGAACCGAGCGCGGCCGGCTGCGGCCGAGCCGAGTAAGCGGTAGTACATTTTTTAGTATTATTAAACATTCATTTACCTAGCTTATTCTTCTTCATTTCATTTTATAATTAGTACATAACATATTACTTAAAGCTTCGTTATTTTTACTGACTGAGTTGCCGCGACGGGAAGCTCCGCGTAGGTACCTACTTATGTTACATAACCTAATCACATTAAAATAAAGTAACTTTCATAGAACTTACCAAGACAAGACTATCAGAAGAAAAACTCACACACAATCTAATCACTAAGCGATGGTCTGCGATAGTTTATAATTCTTTACCAACTTTTGTCAATACAAACTTCACAGTTCTTCGTATAACTTTGCAAAATCAATTAACAAATAAACAAACACAGTAATAAAATGTACTTATATAAATAGACAATTTTATACCGTTTACTACAAATTATTTGCGTAGAATTACTAATCGTATTCTAAATCAAATAACAAAATTATCCGAAAATCCACGCATCGCACGTAAACAAAAACAAAAAAATTGTCACGCGCGAGCGGCGTGAAGTTCGCTGCGAGGCGACCAATGAGTAAACCAAGACACGGAACGTGATTGGTCGGCTCGCGGCGAACTTCAGTCACGAGTCGTCAGGCCGTGCCTGCAGGCAAGCTTCGCGACGATAAAATAAACGCGTCTGTGCACTACGCACACAATGACGTTCACCACTACACGCTTAAATTTATGAATGGTTTGCAGGCGACGGAACCGCGTGCCTGCCTCGCGCGTTAATGTTTACAGCTATATACGGTACGCCTGGCGAAATGCAACACGTATCGCGCGCCATCATTGTTGCTATACTATTTATTTTAGGCGTTCACTAATTTTATTATAATTATTATTTTAGTATTCTGTAGTAAAATTAAAATGTTTATATCTTTTATTACGTAGTGTTATTCACGGTATTTGTAAGGTAGGCAAAGCCTTTTTGCCTATATGGACTGCACGCCACTG